CCTCGGGAGGTAGCATAGGAATATTTCTCTAACCGAATTTCTCTAACTTCTTAACGTAGGAATATTTCTCTAACTTCTTAACGTAGAGACTAAGCTAGAGAATAAATATTTTGGATCCAAAATTACACGATGTATGATTCAAAACTTTATTTGGGTTCTTCTTTTTCTTGAAAATCGAATTAGAGTAAAAATGATGATAAACCGATTGTTAAGCCTGAAATTTATGAAACTAAAGGCAAAAATAAATCAAACAGCAAGGGTAAAAGTGAGAATCAACCTAATCAAACTAGAAGTATTAAATGTTTTAAATGCCTTGGGCATGGAAACATGACACGTGAATGTCCTAATAAGAGAGTTATGATTATGAGGGGTAGGATTGTGATGATTATGAGAGATAGGATTGCATAATCTAAAAGTGAGAGATAGGTTGATGATGACATTCCAAAGGATGTTAGTGATGTAGAGTATATTAAAAGTAAAAATCTAATTGTTCAATGCACACTTAGTTTGCACAATAAAAATGATAAACAAGATGAACGTGAAAATCTTTTTTATACTTATTATTTGATTGCTAACAAGTTGTGCAATGTGATTGTTGATAATGGAAGTTGAACAAAAGTGGTAAGCACCTTGCTCGTGGAGAAGCTAAAATTATCTAATATCAAACATCTAAAACCTTACAAGATACAATGGTTGAATGATAGTTTAGTAAAGATAAATCAGCAAGTGTTAATTTATTTTTCAATTGATAGATATAAGGATCAAGTTTGGTGTAATATAGTACCTATGTATGCTGGTCATATGTTGTTAGGGAGACCTTGGCAATATGATCAAAGTAACATACACGATTGGTTCAAAAACCATTATTCTTTGATCATGGATAGGTAGAAATATCAGCTTCGACCATTACCTCCAATGACAATTTTTTAAGACCAAATGCATATAAAACAATAATTTGAGAAGCTTAAGTCTTCATTAATCAAAACTTTGGAGAGGGAGTAAGAAAGAGAAAAATAAATAAATAAATAAATTGAGTGGTAAAAATGAGAATATTGAGAAACAAGGAGAGAAAACAAGGAAAGCTTAAGAGAAAGAAAAAAGAGTGTTTATGCCAAAATGAATGATGTAAAAACCTTAGGCATGCAACCCTTATTTATACTTATATACAATGAGGTTTTGATTACTGTTAAAAAAATAATAAAAATTTGACTAATGTTATTGTTGATGTACAAGAAGTTCCTAATGATTTACCACCAATTAAACAAATTGAGCATCAAATTGATTTCATTCTAAGTGCAAGCATACCAAATAAGCCAACAAAATCATGATATAAACAACCTATTCCTAAGCTAGATAACATGTTGGATGAATTACATGATACTTATATATTTTTAAAAATTAATTTAAAATCTAAATATCATCTAATAAGAATATGTGAAGGTGATGAATGAAAAACTAGACATGATGAATCATATTTTAAGTGCTTACATTTACACTAATGAAATTATTTTTTTTGGATAAGTTTTGAATAATAAGAATATCTTTTGAATGATCTAAGACTTGCTACTCTAAATATAGAAGTTCTAACAAATCTATAGAAATATTACCCTAGAAAAAATCCTAATTTGATAAAACATTCAATTTTGAAAAAAATACAATGTACTCTAAATAGAAACCTCATATAGATATATTATCCCTCGAGTTCTCGAAAATCAAACACAAAAGTCATACAAGTTGCTCCTATGGGCAAGCAATGCACTCATGTTGTGATACTCGCAGATCATTTGGATTATTTACAACAGACAGAGGTACCGATCAACTATTGCCCCCTCCACGTTTTCTCATCCGGGCTTGAGACTGGCAATGGCAGTGTTAAGCAACAAACCTAAAAATTATGTCAAAACAAACACAAAGGCAACCAATGATAATCTCGAATTATAATAAAACAGAAACCCACGGACAAGCATCCACGTTCACAAGCAGCACATTACCATCGTCCACTCGCATGCATTATTTGCAGCAATGCCCACGACCCCCCTCTCATCCATTTAGACGAGCAATGTGAAGACACAAGTTTTCAAATTATTACACGACTAAACAAAAGTATCCACTCCAAATTGAAGCATTTGTAACAATGCTAAACGTAACATTAATGTCCAGTGATGGAAGTGTGAAGCTACAAAAGAACTTACAAACAATCAGCGTTAAGCAACCAGCAACCAACAACCAACCAACGTTATACTATCATAACTATCCTAGAAGACACATTGGAAAAGATGTAGTTTGGGTCATCCCGCATCTACAACAAAAGCATACAGAAACCAGACAAAAATAATATATTAAAATACACCTAATACAACAAAATCAACAAAACGACAAAAAAAATTCAAGGACTAATGTTCGACAAAAAGAAAGAAACTAGTAAATTCCACTAAATTTATATTTATATGAAAAAAAACTATGATCACACATTATTACGCAACAAACAAACTAGACAAAACCATCCAACACCGCTGAAACATACCTGAGACAAACTATAAAAAACATTGAAATAAGAACAAACACACATGATTAGCAAAACCCTGTCAAACTGAACCCTACAACAACCTAAAACCTGCACCACTATTCCATATCCAACGAACTGTTCCAGTGCCATTATCTGATGGCCAGTCAAAACTATAAACTATAATCGACCTCATGCTGCAGCATTATTCAAAGGTCAGTCCCAACTAATAACTCGATGACAACCATCAGTCAGTCCCAACAAATTGAATCAACAATTCCAGTGCCATTGGGATGATCAGTCAGCCAATCAACCAAACAAAGAACCATCAATCCAGTTATTAGCAGCTTCAACCCAATATAACAAGCTTCACATTTACATGATCCACTACAAATATCAATGCTCATGTTGCCAACCAAGCAAGGAAATGGAAATAGAATAATAATAATGAAACCAAGGCTTGTAGACGAAGTGTTCTATTTCTTTACATAATAAAACCTGCACCATCTATCTGAACCTTACACATAAGCTAATCCATACTGCAAGATACTGATGGTTGTCAAGCAATCACAAGATCAACTTCAAAAGCCCAAACATGAAAAACTTTTTTGAGGGTGCAAAAAAAATGATAATTGGCTTTCCTCCTAAACACAAAAAGAATGATAAGAGTATGGTTCCCTTGGAGAAGAGTATCAGCACATTAAAAACCTAATCAATTAGAATAACCAGAGCTTGCTCATGACACACAAAATGCGGATCCAAAATCCAGAACCATTTCATGTATGAAATTGATGAACCAACAAGCTGAACTCATTGAAACTGACTATCATGTCAGGACTCCCAATAATACATCATATACTACTCTGGTGCAGAATCGATAAAAGAAACTAGAACTCATCCTGAGCAGACTAAGAATCAACTGAAGAAACTAGAACTCATCCTGAGCAGACCAAGAATCAACTAAAGAAACTAAGAAACCCAAATTCCGCTTTCCTTCTATAATTAATGTTTCAAACACAATGACAACCAACAGCCCAGATCTAAATATTAGCAAACACCAACCCTTTCTTGCAGCTATCATTATTGACATAGTTCTCTGCCTGACCTTCTAGGTTCATAAAAAAATAGAATTTTATAACAATAATAAAACTACTAAAGGATGCTTAGACCACATCTCAATCGATGATACCAGAGAACCCTAACAACATGAAAGAAGAAAAATCAACTAAGTAGTTTAGTAATATCAGGAAACACAAAACGGCTGGAACAACAAGGTGGTGCTTTTATCCCATGGCTCTTGCATAAGAGCTCATAAACATATTGTTGATGCCTTCTTCTTTTTACCCAAATAGTACCCCTAAATTGTTGTAATTCTACTCTTCGCCCGTCCGTCGCCTTCGCCGTATGCTCCCACTGCAAGGCCTCGTGGCTCTGTGTGATGCCTCGCCCACACCCTTCCCCGCCAATATGGTTTAGACCCATACCAATGTGGGACTAAACAGATATAGGTCTAATACTTAATATTATTCTTAGACCTAAACTAGTATACGTCTGATAGTTGAGATACAATTCTTTGGTTGGAATGGACAGCAAGGCAATTCAAATACTATTGAAGGGGAATAAAATGACATCATTATGCAACATTGTGACAGTTTCTGTCAGTTTAGCATGGAATGGATAAAAAGTCAGAAAGAAGGGATGAAAACGGATCAAAAGCTGCATAAATATAACATACATATAAAGTACATGATAAATATTCAGAAAACAGAACAATCACAATTTCTAAGCAATAATAAATTTCCATGATGAATTCACTAGGCATGAACAAGGACATATAAA